TTGCAAGGCAGTCCACCGAACCACTGAGCTAAATCCCCGGTCCCTTAAGCCTTCATTTTATCAAGATGTGTGATTCTACTAAAATTTAAAGGCTAAAATCAAGGAAGTCCAGCAAGTATTAGCTCTACGGAAACACAAATATAAATGTTGTTGCTCACGTACACGGTCTCATCATCCGCTTTTAAGTGCTTCCTCATGTCAGAAGGTTTTTATAGTAACAATTTGGTTAATGGTTTCTTTCTGGAGAAATTTCAAAGGCAGTGAAAGGGAATATTTCTGATAAATGTCTGGCGGCTGCGTTGTTTGTGGTATTCCTGTGCTAGAGAAGGTAGAAAGGACCTCCAGGATAAACACATTATGCAGCAGGCAAGGAAAGATGAAGCCACATTTTCTGTAATCCAAATTCTTTCTAAAGTCATATAGTTTCTATGAATGAGATAAAGCAACTCACATAGGTTCTTTAAGTTCCCTGGAGTTTAAAGTGTATTAATGGCTATTGAATTCAGAATAAATAAACTAGATGGAAAAATCATTATGTGAGTTTTATTTTCCAACTATCAATTTGGATTTTAAGCACTCTTAACTTACCTTTAATCTTTAGCTTGAAGCTTCTAAGAAACATAGTTGAAATTTTGGACATCATTTATTTTTCCTCTCTTACAATAATGGGATATGAATTCATTGGGCAAGTTTATTGAATTTGGCATTATAAACAGATTCATCTCTTAAAGGGCCATGTATTTTACATATTAAATTTCATCCTTTGGGGGATAACAATGAAAAAGTGCATTGAAAAATATTAGTTGCAATGGTTAGATGAATAGACTCTTTTCTTCACTAAATTTAACAATATCATGTGATCCCCAGTCTCTCTGCCAAGATTTAACATCGGAAATTAGTGAGCAGGGTAGTTAAACAGAATTATATTCTTGCTGAAATAAATGTCCTTATTTCCAGTTTGTATTCACTGGAGCAACAATATTTCATAATACCACCAACAGGAAGATCAGAAATGATGGATCACAATAGTAGGAGGTTGAATATTTGTGCTATCAGGGGCAGGGTGTATTATTGACATGGTTGAATGTCCATGACTTAAGCATATAATATTGATAAATGCATTTTGTTTCACTAGATCTCATTTCTTTTTTTGTTTTCCTTTCCTCCCTCTTCCACTTCTTTTTTTTTTTTTTTTTTTTTTTTTTTTT